GGAGGCGGATCTCCAATCATCCGGAGCATCCGTTTGTTTTGCAGGTACAGACGTCCGGTTTCAGTCTCGGAATTGTAACTCTCCCGCAGGACATCAGAAAACCCCGAAATAGTTATTGATCAAGGTTTATCAACTTTCAAAACCTTAGGTTAAATTTGGTTTTTTGATCAATGTGTTTATCAACAACCAAAGAATTTTAAAGGTGAACAAGTAGACATATCAAAGTTTCTAATTTTTTCTGCCAAAAAAAAAAAAATAAAAAAAAATAAAGAATTCTAGTTTCATATTGGCCTGGCACAAAGATTAGGACAAGTTATTAAATGTAGACTTTGGGGTGTAGCCCTTTTTTAGGCAAGGGGAAATAAGGATTAGTGATTGTACACTAAAATTAAAAAGTTTGTTATAGACATGCAGCTAGGGATGTAAAGGTGACTAGCTAGTAGCTAGTCCAAAAGTTACTTCATATCCCCCAACATCACCATAATGAACCATAATGAAGATCACGTACCTTATCTAGCTAGTTTAATCGATAAAAGTTTTTAGAGGATGATATCCAAGTCAATCAAATGTTGTTTACATCGTTTTTTATTACTAGATAAAAAGAATTATATTAATTGTAAAAGTTGACAAAATATACGGAAGAAATCTCGTGTCATGACTCCACTTGATCTTGCCTTTTTTGTTAGGATATCTAGAAGCTTGTTGGAAGATATTGGTTCAAACACAAGTGAAATGTGAAAGTGACTTGAAGTTGACAATTTGGGAAGATTATTAATGAATACAACAAACGTACACACTCTTAAATTAAAATTTGGACGAAATTCTTTACTTTTGGTGAAGAGTTGAAAAATAAAGAGGAGAAGAGCTTTAAGAGTTTAAGGCATAGACTCAATGCAAATTAATTATTGTCATTATTTTTTGACAAGCCAAGACAATGAACACAAATTAAATACCCTGCAACGTAAATTAAATACAGTAAAAATCTAGACGTAGGAGAAACAAAAAATGGAGTAAAAAGTGGCAAAATGCAGTAAAATACGTAGTAATTAATTTGACATATTTGTTATTAATCGGGTGAACAAAATCTGAGGGGGGGTTTTTTTTTTCAGCAATTAAGCAAAGTTTTTCTAGCAAGTTACTATCACTGAGTAATAGTGTGTATTAACTCCAGTTTCATCATTGACCATTAACATATGTATATTGCATTACAGATTTTTAAAAATGATACTTAGAAAATACATATCAAGACGAATATACTACTAACATGATTTCACATAATAAACGTGTTGATATAAGTAATATTGGGAATTCACGACTTTGGACACATTGACATATATTTAAATTTAGCATAAACAAGATAAATGCCCTAACAAACATTATATGAAGTATAATCGATCTAATATGGTGCTAAAAAAGATAGATGTACATGTACGCCTTATTTAGTTCGTTTCCATATCAATATACTTATAGATACAGATAGCAGTTTCATTGAGTAGGTTATTAGTTAATAGCTCAATCGTGTATTGAATATTTTGTGTGGTACGTACCTTGACTTTTCTGAAAGATAGCATCAATGAGTATGAGTATAAAGTTTATTGACTTAAGGTTAGAGGACGATGACGAAAGCACGAAGATAGATAGATAGATATCTAATATCTGATACAAATAGCCATGATTAAATTGCATCCCTATATCTTATAGGATGCAGCAATATTATGTTCTGAAAGACTGAAATTATATACGATTATATTATTGATGATATCTGCCAAAAAGCTGCTCAAGTTCTGAAACGTAACGTTATTGTATTCACATTTGAATATTTCATTGCTTGATCACTTATGTAGCCAATATGAACTACCACAAAAAAGTACTACGTATTTCGTATTATGGCAGTTGTATGAATTTAGGGATCTGCCGAGCTTTTGCCGACTAGTACCAAAATACTATGCCTTCATCTTTGCATTTACGTTGGTTTCCGACAAACAGGCGCAAAACAGTAATACTAATAGTGCACAAGTTGATAGCTTAAGATAAGTTTAGACAGAATAAGTTTTTGTAAGATAATTTTATACACATGATACTTCGAATGCATTTGTTTTCCTGAGGATGGTTACCTGCGAGCTGTAAATATGCTGCAAAAATTTCCAAGGTAAGGGTGAAGACGTGATATTTCTCAAAAAAAATTTCTTTCATGGTCAATGCATGGTTTTAAGACAACAAGCTTATTGTATTGATAATTTAAATTCATATGTAATGGTGCATTATTACATGACAAGCTTATTGTATTGATAATTTAAATTCATATGTAATGGTGCAATATTACATGGAATAGAACATAATTTAATAGACTGATAATACATACGTACTACATGTTCGTTGCTGAAATAACTTCAACTGCTTACATAAACATGCATAATCTACTTTATTTGAATCGTCCTAAGAGGATATTCTAACTTAGTGATATTACATATTACAAATAAAACCTGAAAACTTGTAATTAAACGAACTATTTAAGACTACGACATTGAAGCTTCTTCTTAACCCATGAAGGAGACAACACAGGGCTAGGCTCACACCCTGCAGAATTTGTATCTTCCGTATCATCATCTCCATTGCTATGGCGGCCAGGGGATTTCTTCATTTCTCGCAAGAGCTTTACTCTCCACACCTTAAATGTCTGATCCAAGCTAGCACTATAAACCAAGAAACTCGTTACAAGCTCGTCCTGCAAAGAAGCAGCCAAGCATCTCACAGGCCCTCTATGCCCTTCTAAAACAGCAAGACACTCATGAGTAAATCTTACTTTCTCTCGCCTCCAAATCCTGATCGTCGAGTCCTCAGACCCACTAATCACCAAATTATCTAGGGTCACTAGGCAAAGAACCGCAAACTGATGCCCTTCTAAGACTCCACCGTGATTGTAGTGAGTAGAAATCTCTTGCACCCAGAAATTTATACATCCATCAGAAGATCCGGAATACAAGAAACTCCTTTGTGATGGTGACACACCTAAAGCCAAGGCATAAATAGGGTAGGTATGAAAACTAAAGACCTTAATAAGGACATGGCTGTGTTCACCATAAACCCTTAACCACATCTTTACTGTTCCATCTGAAGAACAAGTAAAAAGGTAGCCACTTTGTTGGTTGACCACCATGTCATTGATGTGGTCACCATGAGCTACAAACGAGTCGATACACTTCTTTACACTTAACTTCCAAGCTTTGATAGTTTTATCAAATGAGCCAGTGTATAAAATACTTTCAACATAGTAAAAAGCCATGCAAGAGATAATATCCCTATGTTGTGGTGTAATTGGCTTATTAGCAGTTTAACCTATGGTGTGGGACAACAGACCTACAAATGAAACTCTTGAAATGGCTAGCACAAGGTAAGGTAAGGACTTTTCTAGCCCTAAAGCTACCACTGCAAGTTCTCATGTTCCATATCCTAATTTTATGATCCTTATGTGCAGTGAAGAGCATGTCATCATAGACTTGCATGGCCCGGACTTCGCCGGAGCTAGATTGTATGTAACCCTTTGCATGGCAGTCAGTGACTGCCATGCATAGACTCGACGACTACTTGAACCAGTTAAGACTAGGTCACCGAATACAGTGAGAGAATAAATATCACCATCACGACGGAGAGAGGAGATACAGCAGTAGAGAAGAGAAGGATGAGAGGGGTTAACGAAGGAGAGGGAGACCAGGATGATTCAGGGCTTTGAGACATCATCGGTGAGGTATCAGGGTAGAAATGGGTGCCATGAAAGGCGAGCAAGAAAATTTTGGTTATGCTTAGAGAGGTGTTGAAAGCTGGGTGATTGATCTTCTGTAAAATCTTCATCAAAGAAGCAAGAAGGCTTTTCTTGTGACTGAGCTGGCGATCCATCGCAAGAGAAAAACAGGAGTGGAGATGTGAACTAGGGAAATCTTTTGTGTGTGCGTGCATGCGGCGTTGGAACTAGGTTTTTGGGAGCTAGGGGGTATATATGCATGCAAAACCATGCATTTATTCAATGACAGAGAGTTTGTTCAATCATTATTTCACGAAACTTAGCTATGTTGTTTCTATTTCCTTGTAATTTATTTCATTTTAGGATGGGTTGGGGAGGGGGGGGAATTTGTTCAAATTGGCAGTCTGGGTACACCTCGTACATGTATTATACGTAGAAAGAGAGGAAAACCCTATATGGGTCCTAATGAGGACATGGAGATGGCAAAGGAAACGGAGGGATGGGGTTTTCCTCGCTTTTGCACAGTAGGCCTCATAGGGACCTACATGACGAGCCACTGCCTATCAAAATAGCATAATTGTGTCTGCATAATGGCTAAGACTAAACGATATGGATAGTTCATTAGTTCAACATGCTCATCAACCATTAACCTTAAGATGTGGATCATTAGGCACCTTAGCATGGCATGTAAACTCCTCTCAGATTTTAAGCAAAACTTCTCATTCACGTGATATCCAATGTAGATCCAGAGAGTCATCCAGAATCAATAGTAAGATGCAATCATACAGGCAACCTCAGGGCTACTATAGATCCTCTACCCTCAGAATTTGAACATACATATCTCTAGATCACAGTCTCACAGAGTTAAGGCAAAACCATATTAAAATGTATTCGAGTCTATTACCCAAAATTTGTTATGGAATTTTCATGAACCGAAATCGCACGAAAAAGAACCAGTTGAGCTTAGTTTTTCAGTACATTAACCTCGATAACCAAAAATCACTAATAAAATATTCATAACTTATCATTGACAAGCTTCTAGTTGTTGCTGTGCCCCAGCAGACATCAGTCATTCAAGCTTAGGGAGAGCATTTATAATAGCAAAAAACGAACCATACCACTGCTGATAGAAGCATTTAGCACTCCTATAACAGTATATAAGACATATACCAAGAAATTATTGCATCGATTGGCAAATTATAGGATTTGCATCGAAGAAATAGAGAAGAATGACGGGTGAAAAACATAAAAAGTCACTGCTAACAAACAGCATAGCTGTCTATCAACTTACACTGAATACTGATAATAAGGTTCAAAACAGGCTACGGACAACATTCTCGATAGATGATAAGGGATTGGTGATAAATATTATTACTCGTACATCAGTAGGATAATTGCACGTGACAGATGCAGGTTAATCCCAGAGAGAGATTTGCACCAAAAACATTTTTAATGAAAATTCTGTTTTCATCAATCTTGATCCTATTAACCGAACCTTTTAAAAAACCTAATTTACCAAACTAGATTGTATCAGTGCTAAGGCATGATTTGGTTACAGCTCCTATAGTAGCATTATACTAGGTTGGTTAACTAACCCTTTCTTTCCGGTACAATAACCATATACTCCCTTCGTGTTTTATAAGTGTTACAATTTGACCGGCACATAGTTTTAGGCAATTTAATTGACTTAAATAAATAAGGTAAGTGGGTAGTTGAAGGTATTTAAAAATTGTAAAGAAAGGTAGCTTTTTGCCAAAAAAGAAGTGTAACACTTATTAAAACAAAGAGGAAGCACGAAGTACTTGCCACAATTTCATTTTTTGGTTATCGAAGGAAACAAATCATACTCTCTCCGGTCTTCGAAATAAATGACATGTTAGACCCGGTTTACTTCACCTTGAAAAAATAATATTCGGTAAAATAATTTCACTTCAGTAAAATAATTTTAGTCCAGTAAATATAATTTTAATACTGTAAAACTCGGTAATTTTAAAAGGAAATATAATAGAGAATCAATAAAAATAATTTCACTTCAAACAAAAATAATTTTCAGTTCACCAAAAAAATTTCAGTTCAGTAAAAATAATTACAGTTTTAATGAAAAAATAATTTCAGTTCAACAAAAATAAGGTGAATTAAACAAGAACTTAGATTTTTTTTCAATATTCATACACTAACTATTACCATAGTTCTATAATAAATTATTAACAATGAATTGTATCAAGAAATATATTGTTAAATAGGTATTAATATAAAGCTTTAAAATATCAACTTTTTATTTTTTTACTATATTTAATTATACATCTATAAAGTCATATATTGACATGTGTGTCAAATTTGAATATGTTAATTATTCATAGATTTTACTCAAACTTCATTAAATATATTTAGACTAATAATAGGTTTAGAATTTAACACCTCTAAAACAATTACTTTTCCCTTTTACTTCCTACGGAGTAGATTTCAAAATACACGTATGGATTAAGTTCACTAACATCTCTAATGGCAAGCTAAATGTCAAATCAAACTTATCATGTCACATTGAATTTTAAACTAATATTCTATGTAGTTGATGACCTTCTTGTCTCTTCACCTATCTCACCAATCACCATGGTTAGTGTAATCCCTTAAACTTATGGTAACACACTTTAACCAAGAATATACCCTACGTATTTTAGGAAAATGTGTAGAATGAATTAAATTTTAGCAGCAGCAATAATCTATTGATAATAAATACGTAGTACTTTAATCAGTAAGCACGTGTGAATAGTATAAACCTACTTGCCTTATTTAATGAATAAATGAAAAGACTATATAGAAGTATTAAAAAAAAAAAAAAATTACTACGTAAAAAAAAAAGAGGGGCAAAAAACCTTTTGGAATAGGGAAAAAAAAATACCCAAAATGCCAACAAATTGAAAATGAAGGCATTGTAAATATAATATAAGGAAAGGAATTGTTCTCTACAACCTCAATTTAACTATCACGTTACTAATTCAAATTATACTATAACCATGATTTTTAATTTTAAATTGAGGTATAATATGAATGTTCATGTCATTGATACAAATAATTAGTACCTGTTGTTACAGAGGAATTATTCTAAACTAGGTGGGGAAACGAAAGATAATGCTAGGCAAACATAAGCTTAGCCAATTCTCATAAGAAATGAGTAGACATAAAAAAACTATCAGGCAAACATTAACTTGCTTCTACGGTTGAATTTTAAGTTCTCCAACGCAGCTAATGTTTTGGATTGACAAGTTGACAACCCGCCAATGTAGTACTGTTGAGTTAATGGACTAAGGATTTTACCAGTTATCAGCCTCCCCATAACTTCAATCCGGAGTTTCCTGACTCACCATACACCTATAACATCAGCATATAATAAAATTGTTGTTTAATTCTTTGGATAGATTGAGTCAACCCATAAATAAGCAACCACAAAGTCCCCACAGATATTACTAAAGTCACCAGATCGATAAATAAAAATCTCTTTAAAGCTTATGTTCTTTCCACTGGAATTTATTTATTTGAACTTATAAAGCATTTATTTTGTTTCAATATCTAAACTAATTGGAATCTATAAAATCTTATGTTTTCAAACATTATACACTAACAAATACTTTATACTTCCTCCGTTTTTAAATACTTTGCTCCATTTAATCTGGACATGTATACCGATACAAATTTTTGATCAATTATATCTTTAATTATTAATAAGTATAAATTCTAACAATTAAAAATTAATAATCTATTCATTGAGACGTTCTAACAAGTACCCACAAAAGCATATTTTTTCTTATGTATAAATCACAAACATTGGTCAAAGTAGGATGAATGAATAGTGCAAAAAGTAAAAATGGAGCAAGTATTTAAAATTGGGGAGAGTAGGGCCTTGTTTAATTCAACTTATTTTTACTTATTTCAGAAAAAATAAGTTCAGATAAAAAAAAAATAAGTTCAGATAAAAAAAAATAAGTTCATTTCAAATCATCGTTTTATGTGCAATTTTTTATCGCTAAATATCTTTAATTTCGTAACTAAAAAATATTATGAAAATTACATATTAATAAAATACACATTATTACGAATCTAACAAGATCCCACTTGATATATTTTTTCCTTACAGATTATCGTACACTTAAGGTTAAAATTTGGTCAAATCAGACAATAAGATCATATTAGACCAGACCAGACCAGACCAGATAAGATAAGTTCATATAAGCAAAAATAAGATGAACTAAACAGAGCCTAAGATTTACAGGTATTACTTTCCATCAACACAAAAGATTTTTTTTCTATTGATGGTTAATGTACAGTTTCATAAACTTTTTCTAAAGAATTATTTAATTTAATTTGCCGAGTGTAATATTTTTAGAAATGAAAAAAAAAAAAAGTAAATAATGGCATGAAAATTGGGGAAAAGGTAACAAAAAAAAAAGGGTTTTTCTATGTAGTAACCTCGTTTTTTTTTCACTTTTCTATGTTGTGACCTAACATATATGACTTTCTACGTTGTAACCCTAAAGAACGAAAAGTCACTATATTGTGACCTCACCGTTAAACTGCCGTTAGTTGCTTCCGTTAAAATGAAAATATTAATTTTTTTTTTTCATTTCCCCTTCCCCTTCTTCCCTCCATAACCACCAGAATCGCGACCACCCTCAATAGCTAGCCCCCTCCCGCCATTCACCGCTAACGTTTTGGGTTGCCAAATCCTCTCCCTCCTCTTTTTCGTTCGACCTGCTGCGTCGTGCCGCCATCGCCTCTGGCCAACCGTTCAACCTGCTGCGTGCCGCCATCTCCTCTCAGCCTTTCCTTCAACCTAAGCGCGCAACAACTCCTCCCCTTTCTGCTCACTAGGTCTGAAAACCTAATGTCGCCCCAGTTAGTTAATTCTAGTTGTGAATTGTTGATCTATTCTTGGGTATATGATAGTTTTGATGAAAATAGTTGCTGCAAATAAGCATTTGTTTGAGTTAATTAACATTCTAGCTTCAATTGTGTTAATCTTTGATGATGTTACACGTTAAATTGAGTGATATCACTAATATGTCGTTGCAACCATTGTTTGCTGAATTTCCACATTGATTTATTAAATTTTTAATTTGAAATTTTGAGAAGAGTTGCTTAGATTTGTACAAGTAATGGTCTTATTGGGGGTGGCCGGAATTTAAGAAGGAATGAGGTGAAGGGGGAGCGGTGAAAAAAGGTTGGCAGGGGAAGGGCGGCCGGACAGGGAAGTACGAGCGTGGAGGTGAACTGGCTGGAAATGGAGGGGCTGCGTAGGTGGGGGAAAGGGAGGGGGGAGGGGTGGCTGGCGGAGGGGGTGGCAGTGGGGTGGCTGGAAGGTGGCTGGACGGTGGTTGGGCCCCATTAACGGAAATAGTAACAGTTAACGGAAGCAACTAACGACAATTTAACGGCGATGTCACAATATAGTGACTTTTCATACTTTAAGATAGCGTAGAAAGTCATATATGTTAGATCACAGCGTAGAAAAGTGAAAAAAAAAACGAGGTTACTATGTAGAAAAACCCAAAAAAAAAAAAAAAAAAAAAAAAAGAGTAATTTTTTAAGATAAAACATTAGATATAAACACAACATGTCAGGACACCAAAAAAAAAAAACCGAAGTAGAAAACACATGCACTACAATATAGAACCCTGTGAGTATATTTTTACGCACACTTGGATAAGCTCCCACATACCATACACGCTCATCATAGACATAGTGCTCTTACCATCTTACTTGCCACATTATTAAACCAATTATACATTATAAATTTAAAATTAAGGTTGTAAGCAACAAAGAATGGAAGAAAAAAAAAATTTATACACAAGAATTGTAATTAGTCATCAACAATCACTTAAAAATCAACTTTCACAAAAACAAAACTGTAAAAGAGCATCATTTATGTGATTTGATGTGATTAAGTTTGATGTGTAGAATACAACTGTAGCATATAAGTTCTGCTGATAAGTCTTTTTTTATCAAACAAATTATTTCTTAATCAATGCCTCATCAATAGCAAGATGTAAATACTTATTCCTTGTATGAATTAGGTTCACTGCATACACACACACACACAAAACAAACAACATTCAACTAAATGTCTTTCTTACCTAGAATCAATTCATCGCTTACAAATTACAATAAGTTCACTGCTCATCAATAAGTAGACATAATTCCACAATACAACTATAAAATTTTACAGCAGGACCAATATCAAATGAATTAGCTTTTTTCCACAGGAAATTGGTAAAAAGCACTACTAGTAGATTTGCTATAGGTACCATTAAATTTGGGTGAATAGTACTCCAATTTATTGTCACTATTCTATGACATTGAGAATAAATTGCTAGAACTGTAATTGCCAGGGTAATTTGTACTCCGTACTTTATTAATCTCGTTCTCACCTAATTAAGATTCAGTTAAAATTTAAAAATTTACGGCAACACCAACTTTTCCCTCCGCGAAGATAGAACAAGAGTACCAATAGTAGGTTTGCTATAGGTGCAATTAGATTTGGGTAAAAAAGGTACTCATGTTTGGGTAAAAACTAAAATGTACTCCAATATAATGTCATTATTCTATGACATCAAGAATGAATTGCCAGAAATGTTATCACCAGGGTAATCAGTCCTTTCTTAATCTCGTTCTCACCTAATTAAGATTCGGCTTAATGTCTCAATGCCAAACAATAAAAGAAGACCGTGAACGCAGTAAATGAACCTGCAACTTAAAATAAATACTCCTGGCACCTAGACACTAGGAGGAAAAACGTTGTTTCCGTACTGGCACCCATACATGAAAACCTGCAAAATACATTATTTTGACTAAATTATCTGAGGGTCTTCCTCATGATCACTTAATACTAAAAATAGAGGAACGAAAATTTTGAAAATTACACCCTTTGCCATTCATAGCGAAAAAATACTCCTATCTTATGACTTTTCCATACATAGCAAATAAATACTTCTATCTATGACAACTGTCAAGTTCAGATAGTATGAAATAAATAAATGACCTAAGCTCTGACCTAAGGAAATTACTAATGTGAGTTGTTTTCACAGTGGAGGTAAAGGAAGATAAAACCTTTGGTTTCCATTTTGAATAAGAGGACGGATATTATCAGAAGGTCGTTCATAAGGGAATTAAGTAAAAAAATCATCATAACTATTCTTCCTCAGTTAAATTCATCTCACTTTTCATCCTTCCATTTTTACCTCCTGTAATATCATACTCCAATCCCTACCAACAAGTTGCTGCCTCCAAAAAAAAGTATATAATGCCTTAAATTTGGATCCTTCCTCTCCGCTAAGCTCAAGATAAAAATAAATAAATAAATAAAAACAAACTTAGCCAAGATTCTGAATCCTCCTAAGATTTTACAATCAGTCAGCCCCACATTTTTACCACATTCATACAAAAAACCTTGTAATCAACCACATTTAATACTCCGTATATGTGGAACCTAAAACTGACAAACCTTGACCCAACATGACCCAAACACAAAACCAAGTAGGTCAAGCCTTTTTAACCCACTTAAGTTAACTATTTGATAATTAAGTCAGCTTAGTGTTGATATTTTAAACCCAAAACTAAAAAGGGTACACCTACTTAATTTAAAAATATAAAAAATTTCAACATATTAGCACAATATAGAGGTATGACTATATGAGTTAGCATAATATAATTATTTCTTTAAAATTTTACTATACTAGCAAGGTAGGGGCTGGCCAAACATAGATAAAATGATACAAAACCAAGCAAAAGAAATTAATATATTGTTAAAAGTTCCTTGAATTCCAATCTTAAACAGCTAAATGTCTTAGTATCAAGGGTTTAAACTAGTTTGATAAAATGGGTCAGGCTAGTGTTACATGAAAATGAATTCGACACAACACAACCCATTTGCTAGCACGCACTTTCTAGTGGAAGATGAGGAGAGAGGACTAGAGTGTTGCTCCCCAAAGGTGCAAGAAAGCTGGTTGTACGGTACAGATGCTTAATTAGTGTGAGAAGGTACCAAATAGCAGAGCAGAGGTGTCTCATGTCTTAAGAAGCCATAGCACGCTTTCAAAAAAAAAAAAAAAAAAAGAAGCCATAGCACAGGAGTGAGTAAATGTAAGTGCAGTATATTAAGTGTCTAGGTAGTAGCTGTCAAAAATAAATAAATATATAGGGGTAATACAGGAAATGCTCAGAGTCTAGGTCAAAAAAAAAAAAAAAAAAAAAAACTTTTACTTCAATTAAGACAACTCAAAAAAAAATAAAAAAAAAAAAAAAAAAAAAGAGAAGCCTATCATATCTATCTATACTTAGTATTCGAAATCACAAACTAAAGTTGACACATGTCCTCCTCCTCTTTCACCTTTCTTTATAATCATTCTCTTTCCTTATGTTTTCAAAAAAAATTCTCTTCATCTCCTCCTTTATTATTTCTCATTAACTCTTTATATTTTGTAATTCTTATTTTAATTCAATCACAAATTAAATTTCCTAAACCTTCTCCTCTTCTCCCTCCATTTTTCAATTCAATTTATTCACATTCATCATTCAATTCTTTGATTCTTTATCTTCCCTATCTTCTAATATAAATACAAATTTTCAATAAAGCTTTTTCACATCACTTAAGTTCCAAATAATAAAAAAATTAGAGAAACATCGTTTAAAATTCTATGTAAAATTTCTACAACAATGAAGATGATTATTAAAAAGATTAATATTGAGTAAAGAAGAATTTTATACCTTCATATTTGATGTAAAAATGTAAATTTATAATAAAGTTTGGTATTTAGTTTTTTATACAAATGGATGATTAACTATTATGTAAATAGAGATTTGATTTTATAATTTTAAACCATTTTTTCTACAATTATTACTACTAATTTATAAAATGTTATAACATGTTAAAAGACGATGAAATAAATTCATTCAACTAATTGATAATTTTTTAAATAAAACTAATAATTTAAGCACAACCCGTGCGTAGAACGGGTCCAAAAGTTAGTTATCATTTCAAAACGAAGTGAAATATTCCCAGAATCGGCCCATAAGCTTCCACGTCAGATAGGGATAGCATGGTTTTTTAACATCATTCCGCTCTCTTAAAAAGTTTGTTCCCACTTCCAACACCCATGATTAGAACTTGGAACTACAATCACATGATTGAATTTCAAATCATTATCTTTGATGAAAGAGCACAGCAAGGCTACCAGAGTGCACAGCTAATAGGTTTCGCAACATGCATGTAAAATTTTGAAATTAATGATGGAGCCACATAAAAATAGAAGGCATCATGATTTCTAATCCTGTCTCCAAAAACGTAGTAATATTATTAGGGATATCAATGGGGCGGGGCGGATGTTGGTCTTCCTATCCCCATCCCCACCTAGCATTTTCATCCCATCCCCATCCCCGCGACGGGTCCAAAATTCATCCTTATACCCACCCCGACAGGTACAATTCCAAAACCATCCCCGCCCTACCCCCTACTTGGATATCCACCCCTACCTAATCCCCACCAAAGACCCGCCTGATCCCCGCCTCTCAAATACACAATCCAACATAATTAATACTTCCTCCGTTCTAGTAATATTGCAACAATTGGACTTTTGGACTATTTATCATGTTTGACCACAAATTATGATTTATACATAAAGTAAAATATAGTCCTGTGGGGTCTTGTTAAATTCGTCTCATAAAATACTTTCACAATATCAACTTTTTATTATTTTTACTCTTATATAATTACAGATATTTAACATATAAAATGTGCTTTGGGATGCGTAATTTCATCCTTGTTGCAATATTTGTGGAACAAAGAAAGTATAGATTACAATAAAAAAAAATAATAAAAAAAAACACCATTCTTAATATTTCACATTTTTTTGTTTATAATATAACTATATAAGTGTATTATAAAGTATTATAATTAATATTTTATTTAACATAATTATTTTTTATAAAATAGTATAAATATATACTTCCTGCGTTCTAGTAATATTACATCAATTGGACTTTTGCACTATTCATCATGCTTGTTTGACCAAAAATTATGATTTATACGTAAAGTAAAATATAGTCATGTGGGGTCTTATTAGATCTGTCTCGCAAACTTTTACAATATCAATTTTTTATAATTTTTACTATTATATAATTATAAATATTTAACATATAAAATGTGCTTTGGGATGCATAATTTCATCCTTGTTGCAATATTTGTGGAACAGAGGAAGTATAATTTTGTTTTTAAAGATATATAGATGTGGGTATGAGGTTGGGATGGGGCGGGTACAACCTAAAATCCACCCCCGCCCCCCATCACCCATGGCGGGTATGGTTATTATCCCCATCCCCGCCCCACCACCCGCCAAACCGAGACTCATCCTACTTGACCCGCCCCATTGACATCCCTAAATATTATGATCTAAAGCTCTATAGGGGCAAATCCACACTGCACATCACAGTAATTCAAATTCTATGACTGAAGAAAATTAATTACCTCAAAAAGCAATTATCCCCAAGCAATTCAAAACTTGTCCAGGTGGCTTCTAGAAATTAGGATAATTTTGGCATTGCAGCTTGTCCACTCTTTGAGACAGAAGATAATCTCCAACTGCAAGACAGAAATCACAACTGTAATAAGAGGAATAAAGGGGGGGGGTGATTTAAAGGTATACAGGTCAAAAGCAAATGCGATGCAACCAAACACAATCTAAAAAACACCATTAAGACTTACAAGGTTGAAAGATTGTGCAAAGCCCGGGATATTACGGAGTAATTCAAAATAAACAAGTATGAAGATAATCCTCAAGCAGCTTAAGAGAACTTATTTCAAAATAATGTTATCCAGAATGACATATCAAGCATTGGTTTGACTATGGTGAACAGAAGTGATTTTGGGACTCTATATTCTCTTCTCAAAAAAAGAATGCAATTTCATGACGAGTAGCATAGTTTTCTTAGGTCATGTTGTCACTTAAAAAGGTGTTGAAATGGATGGCAACAAAGTAGAGGACCCAACTGTTATTCAAATTTGGCCTACACCCTATTATATCCATAATATGTGGAGTTTTCAGAGAGTTAGCTTCTTTTTGCATAGATTTGACAGAATTTTAGTTTCTCCATAATTCCAATAATAAATGAGAGGAATTTTTTTTCAATGGATCCCATATATTTAGGGTCCAAATCAAAATCAAGACGAGGCTTCTTGTTTAAATATAACAGCATTAACATTCTTAAAAATTATTTGAGAAATATAGTAAGCTTCTCACTAGAAAACATTCGATAGGCATAACAAATGAACAAGCTCAAGCAATTAAGTGAGAGCACATCAACTGACAAAAGAATCGAAGCACCTATTACGAAACAAAACTCATTGAGGAAGTGCAGCATATAACAGATAGCACATAGCCCAATATAAACTTAGGGGCTTTACACTCCATCACTATCACCTATTCTTGATGGTATTTTGCTTACTTTGAGCATGTAATTTGTGCTAAAATTTGCCAAGAACACATAAGCTAAAGGACATAATGACAGTGATTGTTAATGGATTTCTACAATGGTTCATTAATATGACAACGTCCAAAGACTCCAAAACAGCTAAACACATCAAAAAGCTCCTTTCAAACCTATAAAGACTGTTCGTGGAAGACCGAAGACCAAATGTTGATCACATTTTTGGACAACTTCATGGAAAAAGATAGTGATTATATCACCAGAATTTACTTTCATATCAAAAATCACCCTTAAACACGTCAAGATTGGTACACTTTCTGCAAAATGAAGCTAGCCTAAGAATACTCCAAATATCATTCCGTTCATTCATACCTGTGAAAACATGTTGGTTTCAGTTCACTCATAGTTCCATCTACGGGACATCTTAGAGAGCTATTTAGTAAACAATATCTATGCAGTACAAAAATGAAGACTCTTAACTATGACAAGGAGGGTAAGGAAGCTAAGTATAGAGAAAAAGCAAGCACAAAGTTAAACTCACAAAACAAGAGGGTGTGAGAGAAGCACAGAGTAACATAGATTGAGAGAATAGGAAGATTTGGAGGATATAACAAATCAGCAAGTGGAAGCTGGAAAGAAATTTGGGAAAAGAGAATTTAAACAAGGGTGTTTGATGATAGGAGGGTTAGATGATTTGAAGATTGGGGAGATGTAACTGGCCTCTTCAGATTTTTCATAGTTATGATTGGTAAGGTTTTACTTTGCTTCATACTCTTTTAATCTCTCTTGAAGGGGCAAATTTTTTTAATGTTTATTCATACTTCATACGCATCACCTCAACCATGGACAACCTCATGTGCCCTAACAAGCACCTTATTGAGATCACCTTGCCTGGGAATTTTCTGATGTTAACCTCTCAAGCCAAGCTCCCATGCAAGCTTTTTGAGAGATAGCCAAACCTTCAACGTTACAGATTTATAACCTTATATTACCGATAACAATGAGGCAAAGTTGAGAGCAAATATCACTAACAGGGATTAAATGTTGTGCTTGACCAAGATCCTATAAGAGTTTTAAAAAAAACTACAAATGCCACCCCTTTAAAAGTTAGACGGAACAAAACAGCAGAACAAGGGAACTGCCCTTGTCATTAAAGAATTTATTAGCTTAATTAAGCATCATTAAGTTTTTAAATACTTCATTTTTTTTGGAAAGTTCTAGCTTTTTATTGTCTTCTTAGTGGCAGCAAAACCTATTTCAAGGACTTAGAAATAAAGATAAGAAATAACTTAATTAAGTAAATGTGCTGCAGAGGACTGGTTTTGCAAAATTTACTTGATAAGACATTAATTCAGGTTTCCTTATTAAGAATTAAGAAGGAAAAAAAAAAAAAAAGTGTCCTCTTTGTAAAAGCTATAAATTGCTAAAAATTTTAGTTAGAAAATAGATTTAAATTAAAGAATATTGCAAAAGAGTGAAAGACCAAGATATATTTCCATTTTATAAGAGCTGGTGCTATAGCAGACTTACAATGTATTTGAATGAGAGGATTTAAAGAGAAAGGAATGGCAGGGAGAGTGATGGATTGATATGGATTGGGGGAAGAGAAGAGGAAGGAAATGAAGGCATCCAGGTCTCATTTCTCATTTAATATACCAAATTCTTCCAGACTTAAGGTTTGGTGAAAAAAAAAGTCTCCATCTCCCTCTACTATTGTTATCCATAAACATTGTTAGAGCATGTTAAGTAAGAGTGTTTTTTGGGTTGGAAACAGATTCAATCAAACCATTACCGTTACCAAGTGTTTGTTAGAAAATTTAGGTAACTGGGTAATGGTTTTCACCTATTTGTTACCTCTCTAAAACCTAAGGTAACAATTACCCTTACCCTCCTCAAACAGAAAGAAAAGGAGTTAAGATCAAGTAATTCTTTTCCATGGCTAAACCAAACAAATTAAAAGGTAAGAGTTAAATGAATCTTTTCCTCCCTTTTATTTGCTTCCTTTCCACTCCATTGCTAATAATCATACCAAACACCCCCTTAATGTGATCAAAATCTAGTAAGAAGCCATCAAAGAAAGTACTTTTTTTTTTTAACACATCAAAGAAAGTACTTATATTGTCATGAATTGCATTCACTCCTATGAAATTCTGATGATATCCAAGATTTCTCTAAGTGAGCTTACTTATTTAGTGAAACAAGCATATGATTACCTCTATAACTACTAATACTCCATCAAGATTTAAAGAATCAAGTGAACCTTGTAGATCACTTAATTACATGAAACAAAAGAGAGGGTCAGAGGATGCATGGATGATATCTTCCATAAAAAATCAGAACCTTGCTAAAATGTTTATTTAAACTTATGAACAAGATGCTCAATTCTTTGCTGTCTCCCTACCCAATAATTTTAATTTTTTAAAAAACAAAAACATACTTATTAAATTAGAAAAACTGTAAGGAATTTAAAAAGAATCTATTGTTGTTTCTTTTACCCCAAAACACAAAATAAGTAGAGGTCAACTATATGATCTTATGTTCGTACTGCATAGAAAGTTAATATAAAATGTTTAACATAATTTTAACATCGTAGGAAAGACTGCAAGGATGTAATCTTGGCCCTGATGGCTCAAGATAAACGTGGAACTTCAAAGTGAGCCAATACAAATATATAAAGCTCCCAATCAGAAAAAAGCAGTAGTTTAAAGCAGCGATTATGCAAGGAAGCTTGAAAAGATTAATTTGTGTTTCAAATATATTGATTTACCATGTTTCACCATAAGAGTGACTGACACATAAATCCAACAACCACTTACTCATTCTACCATTCCACACTTCCAATTGCTAAATTTAACTAGATTTTAACACTGAAACTAGGAAAACCACCTTCAGATCAATCAAGTATGCAAGTTTGTTGCTATCACCAAGAACAAAAAATAACCAGCACAATTTCAGAGTAAATTTCAACTTATTTTGATCATATGCCAAAGAACATTTTATAAATCCTTATACCAAGGGAAATCATGTTAATTGTTATTTATTCTTCCAATATGTTCTATTTAAACTCCCAAATTGTCCGTAGCCACATTAGTTTTTAAAAAGACACCAACATTGTAAACTGTAATTAAATTAAATTTTAGCTCCCTTTGCAAACTAAGAAAACATCAATCAACACATAATTTAAATTTTATAGAATGAACATAGAATAATAATAATAACATAAGGACGACAAAGCACCCTAGGGAGAGATCACATAACACTTAAGAATAATAAGCTTTTAGCAGTAACAACTATAACATAATATAAACCCTATCTTACCAGTTTGTCCTGCTTTGGATTTCTAAATAACTTCAATAGAAGCCTTCTACGTATATTATTTGATCTAGTCCCATCAATAAACTGCAGCTTACACTCAATATCCCCTCATAAGCAAATGCGGCAACTAGTTTCTGCACATCAAAGAATGAATTTCAGGATACAATACTATATAGTATATCCTGACCAATGAACCCAGCTTCAAAATAATTTTGTCCTTACTGATGATTTCTAAGCATTATTGCGCCACAAACACGTCCAAAAGCGTCAAAATACAGGATTTACACACACTAATCCTCTACAACGGTCTTCAATTTCTCCTCTTCACCTATTTCAAGATTTTTTCAATCTTCTTCCACCATTTCACTCAATCTTACTATAAAGTTTTTCAATGAACAAACACACATAGCACAACGCAGCAATTAGCATCGCATCATGGAAGATAAATCCACCAACATTTCAACTAAAATGCTAAAAACAGCTCGAAATTGATTGATTTTCGCATATTTGTCTCATCGTCTTAAACTGATCAAAAACATTGGATCATCAATCGAACTAATATTGCCTAAATTCAATAATCCAGTAAAAAATGATTTATAAACTGAAATTAAAATTAAAAACAATAAAACTTCATGTCGACAAGAATTTCCAGAAACTCGTAACACAATAAGCTCGAATTTCCTAATAATGCCGCAAATATCACAAAATTTCAAGCAAAACGCAACTGAATTACTCGCCAAAAGTTTGTAAACCTCCAATTAACCATAAAACTTAAGCCAAATCAATAAAATTAAAGGTAAAAACAAAGAAGCAAAACCGCGAAATCGAACCTGAGAATCAATTGTGTTAGGGCTACTATCGGCGAACAGTGGCGGAGGACTTCTCTTCAACCTTAAGAGGATGAAGCAATAGACGAATAAAAACCTAACGCCTCAATTGGTCTGGTATCCGCCATTGATGATTTGCCGGAAGTTTTGTGGAGACGAAGAAGAGAGAACAAAATTAAGACCTGCTTAATGCTTTAGCAAGTAGGGCGGTAAAGCTTAACGAACAATGCATCATGGAGTGAGTGTATGTAAGACCCGTAAATGAAACTTTTTTTTTAAAAACTGAAATTATTTTTGGCTTTTTTTTTTTTTTTTTGGGAAAGGATTTTTGCTTATTTATAATACTGAAATTAATTTTACTAAATTGAAATTAATTTTGCTGAACTGAAATTATTTTTACAGATCTTTTATTATATATCTTCTTTTAAGTCTACTGATTTTTACTGAAGTGAAATTAATTTTAGAATATCATCGTTTTAAGGTGAAGTGGAGAGGGCCTCATTGTGTAAAGTGTGTTTATGAGGGCATTCAAGTTATTTTTTTTTAATTATCTGACTTTTTGAGCAAGGTTTGATTTAGGGCCCGTTCACTTCATCTTAGTTTTGCTGAACTGAAATGAAATTATTTTTGCTGAACTTAAATTATTTTTACCGAATTGAAATTAATTTTACTGAACTGAAATTATTTTTGCTGAACTGAAATTATTTTTATAGATTTTCTATTATATTTCTTCTTTAAGTTTACTGATTTTTACTGAATTGAAATTATTTTTACTAAACTGAAATTATTTTTGCTGAACTGAAATTATTTTACTGAACTGAAATTAATTTTACTAAACTGAATTTTTTTTTTTTACTGAATATTTTTTTTTTAAGGTTAACTGAATAGGGTCTTAGTGCCAAAATTTACATTTTTTAGGATCATACTTCACTATGATACTTTAATTAAAGAATAAATGTTGCATAATAAAAGATGAATGACTAAATGTTGTATAATGTATAAACAAGAATAAATATTTGATATAAAATTATGAGTGTAATACACAGAAATTCAATTATTATAAAAAGTGATTACAATAATGACTATGTCAACTTTCTCAAGCCTACACAGCGTTGTTTATGTTGAATTTGATTCTTAAACTTGTGTGAAATGCAACTCATTCCCAAGCATAGGAGGACCTAATTCGAGATGGTGTTAATTATAGTTAGGCATGGATCGAGCAGGCATGAGGGTCAATTAGGCATGACATGAAAATGGCTTGACCAAGCATGAACTCTCCACATCCATGCAGCGACCCAAGCATAATGAGGACTTGTTGGCATAGCATTACATGACCTAACCTAACACATGATGCAGATTGTATGGGGCTTTTTTTTTAAATCATCGAGATGAGTCCAATATGGCACAACTTTTTTTTTTTTTTTTGGCATGTTTCAAGCACAATCCACTAGAAGACATGGACGTTTGCATATAATATGTGTATATACAACCCCACTAGTGCCCAACTTTAATGTTAACGGTTCAAAAAGAGTAAATTTTAAGATTTAAGAGTAGAATCAAAGCTTCCATCCCCAAATTTAAGCTCTCACCTTTTTTTTCTGTTTTTTTTTAACCATTAATAACAGTGTATTATTTTGAGGTTCATCATTGATGTGTAATTATTTTAACAAGATATCAATTAGGAAACTACTCATAAAGATTACTTACTCATAAAAATGCTCAAATTTATTATTTAAGTTATTTCATTTTTAATAACCACACTTATCAATGCACAACTTTGATCACATCAATAATCAATCAATCATCAATCAATAACTATATACTAAAAGACACACCATCAACGACACGTGTCATCTCTTGGTGTGTCTTAAGTTTTTTTTTTTCTTTTTTTTGAATAAAATTCTAAGTATTAAAGAAACAAATCTTATACAAAAATAATTCCCTTATCTTATACAATATATAATTACTTAAAATAAAAAAGATTTGACATATCTTTAACACAAATATTTATAGCTATAAAAAAACACTCTTAACATAATTTGCAAAACCTTCTACTAAAAGAAAATATTCATTTTTTTTTTGCCTAATAATATATTTGTCTATATAGTTATTGATTAGAATCCATAATTCTATTATATTTAAATTTATATTCAAAACTACTAAAATAGTAAAATATATATTTTAGCTCCAAACATATGCAAAACTATTAAAACAACAAACCACTATTTTGGAAAAATTTAACTATAGTAAAATATTATTATTAGGATAATTTGTAAATTACCACCCAAAAATAAGACCATTTTTTATATAACCACCCAAAACAAAATTATTTTTATTTAACCACCCCTTAAATCAATTAAACACACAGATTACCATCGTCTTATAGCTGTGGGTACCGTTTGGCGTCGTCTGGTTTCGAAGGTCGGTGTTGTTATGGTTGGCCAGTCTTTAGGATGTTACTTTGATGGTCTCCAATTTGGTGTTGGGGTTACTTCGGGAGGTGAGGCGATTCTTCATGCTATGAATCGGTTGATTGAGGATCGTGGTTCCGATGTTGGCCTTTCCATGTTATTGCTGGATTCAGTGGCGTCACCAGGATTTTCGAAGTGTGGGTTCGAAACTTCCGAAATTTGAAATCATAATTAACAAAGGAATAAAAATACAATAATTAAATATTCAGTACATAAATAAGTTCAAACTATGGATTACAAATAGATTACACATAGAAAAATGAAAAAAAAAAAGACTACATAAGCATTCTTCGAGTCTTCATACTCCATAATTGGAATTCTTTTTCCAGGGTCATGTGGAAGAAGATCAACATCATAAATGCGAGTATCATCGGAGTCAACAGTAGTATTTGGAACACTTGGACCTGTGTTCTCAGGTGGTGGAATTGTTGCAGCAATAGGAACCTCATCATCATTAGGAGACACATGTTCTTCTATTGGAGGATCCCTTGAACTAGGTGAAGAACAAGTTGAAGACTTTTGTGACTTCCCGACACGTTTCCAAAATGACTCTAAACTCATGGTATAATAGGTATATACTGCTGGTTTGCTACACACACATGATAAATGCAGAATGAAATCAATGAATGAATGATAAATCTAGAAAGCTAATTAAAACTATCGTAATTAAAGATTACAGTCAATTACTCAATTAGTAAACGAAATCTAGACGGAAGAAAACGAAATAACATATGAAATTATGAAAACTAGAAGGCAGAAAACGAAATACAGAAAATAGCATATGAAATTCAACAATGTAACAAAAAAAAATCCCCAAATTGAGAACTTGAGAAGTAAATTAGATAATTATAACCAAACTTCAGCAATTTACAAAAAATTGGAAATTCGTAATGTATATTAGCAATTTAGCATATGAATTTCAAGTATTCAATGATTTAGCAAAAAAAAAATCCCCAAATTGAGAAGTAAATTACATTTGCAAAAAAAAAAATCCCCAAATTCACTTACCTACATACACCGATACACGGCTGTGAGGCTGTCAGTGCTGTGACGGACGACGGTGGGTCTGCTGGCCTGCTGGGTGAGTGGCTGGTGCGCTGCCGCTGCCACCGTGTTCTGGCGTTCTGCTGACTGCTGCCGTGTTGCGCCGGGAAGAGAAGGAGGAAGAACGGGAAGAGAAGGACTGAAGGAGGAAGAACGGGAAGAGATTAAGAGAAGGAGGAAGAAGTTAGGGTTTTGCAATTTGGGGGAATGAGGAAGAGGAAAGCTTGAAGCAGGGAAAGCTCATGAAACAAAATTAAAAAAAAAGTGTGAGTTATGGGTTTTGAACCCACAAACTCTTGTGTGATGGGAGGTAAAAATAACCACTGGGCTACAACTTTACTTGTTGTCATATAATACACAAATATTCTATTTAAACCTATTTTGATTTTTTTTTTTTTAAAAAAGATTTTAATTTTTTTCAAAAAATCAGTGGGTTCAATGAACCCACTTGAACCCACCCTAGCTCCGCCACTGGCTGGATTTTCAAAATGCCTTCAATCTAGTTGATCGTGCGGCCATGTTACGTGAAGTTCATCATCGTTGTCCGGGCCTTTCGCGATGGGTTGAGTTATGCTACTCTATTCCAGCTAGATTATATTACGGGGACCACACCTTATGGTCGTCTCAGGGGGTGCAGCAGGGTGATCCCCTTGGTCCTCTTCTTTTTGCTTTGGTTTTACAACCCTTGGTGTGTAAAATCAGAGACACTTTTGATGTATGTTTTCAGGCTTGGTATTTGGATGACGGCACTGTTATTGGTGACACGTTGGTGGTGGGTAAGGATCTGCAGATGATTATGGATGAAGGGCCTTGTCTTGGGTTACATCTTAACGTGGTTTTCTGGCCTTTAGAAGACCCTCGAAGCAAGCTTGTGGGTGTCTTTTCACCTAATACTGCTCGACCCTTACGTGGTGTTAAGTTGCTTGGTGGTCCCGCTAGTTCTGATTCCGGTTTTGAAGGTGAGCTTGTGCTGCAGAGGGTGACCAAGACCATTGCACTTATGGATAGGGTTGCTAAGCTTGATGATCCTCAGTGCGAGCTGTTGTTGCTTAGGGCTTGTACCGGAGTTTCTAAACTCTACTTTGCATTGCTTACTTGTCCTCCTAGTACTTTTGAGACGACTCAGCACACATTCGATGGGGATTTTTTATCTTCCTTAGAGCGTATTGTTACTGCTTCAGGGCCTGGGTTTGGTGATTAGCAGTGGTGGCTTGCCACCTTGCCTTTTGCGTATGGCGGCCTTGGTGTTTATTCCGCAGGTGATGTCCGTCATTATGCTTTTCTTGCTTCACGATTACAGTATGCTTGGTTGCAGACGAGGCTTCTATGGCATGCTGGCGTTGTTGGCCTTGGTCGAGCCTTTGAGGATGCGTTGAGCTTGTTCAATAGAATGGTGGAGTCTAACATTTTGAGTAATCCTAGTGAGGTCGCTGCCCCTAAACTCATGAAGAAATTGGCATATATATATATATATTTCACAAAGGTTACCGCTTCTGCAGAATCCGCCTTTTCTTTGTCTCCTCGATAATCTGCATTGTGGAAATCGCATCAGGGAGGTCACACCTCTTCTTGGCTTCGGGCGGTCCCTCTTTCTAGGTTAGGTCAGACGATGAACGCAAAGACCTACTGATGTGTGTTGTGCTACCGGCTGGGTGTTCCATTGTTCTCTATCTCAACGCCGTGCTATGCTTGTTCTAGGGTTTTTACTGGGGATATTTTCGGTGATCACGCGGTGTCGTGTGCTGGTATCGTGGGTATTAAACATCGACATAATGTTGTCTGGGATACCCTTGTTGATATTTGCTATAGATCTGGGATTTCAACAAGAAAGGAGGTTGACATAGGGTTGTTTGGAGGACATGACGGGGCCCTCAGACCTGCAGATGTGTTACTTTATTCATGGGATCGTGGTCGCGATGTATGTGTGGACTTAACAGGGTCTTCTCCTCTGACACAGACAGGGCTATCTGACTTTGTTCCTGGACGGGTTGTGGCTGATGCGGCTCATCGGATGCGGGTGAAGTATGAAGCTAGTTGTCGGCTAATTGGATATGGTTCCATTCCCTTCTCTTTTTCTTCGCTTGGGGAATTAGAGAAGGAAGTTGTTGCGTTGCTGAAGGGGGTTCAGAGGTTCTCGGCGACGCAAGACATTGGGGCTCGT